TCTCTGTCTCCATCTTCACATGACCATCTTCCCTCTGTGTGTGTATCTGTGTTTCCTCTTATTTTGCAAAGACAGCACTCATATTGGATTAGGACTCACCATACTTCAGTATGTCTGATATAGTGCAGGAGGATGAGCCACTTAGGTTGGAAGGCTCTCAAAATATGACTGGGAAAGAGCTGCATTATCAGAGTAGAACCAACCTTATTGATATGGATAAAGTAAAGCTTTTGAGACCTCCATTTGCTGATGTGACATGACTCAAATTGAGGAGAAACAGTTGCAAACATCCATTAACAATCGGAACATGGAATATACGAAGTATGAATCTAGGAAAATTGGAAGTTGTCAAAAATGAAATGGAGCACATAAAGATTGATATCCTTGGCATTCATTAGTGAACTGAAGTGGACTGGTTTTGGCCATTTTAAATCAGACAACCATATGATCTACTATGCTGGGAATGACAATTTGAAGAGGAATGGCGTGGCATTCATCATTACAAAGGATGTTTCAAGATCTGTCCTGAAGTACAGTGCTGTCAGTGATAGGGTAATATCCATACGTCTGCAAGGAAAACACGTTAATACTACTATTATTCAAATTTATGCACCAACCACCAAAGCAAAAGATGAGGAAGTTGAAGATTTTTATCAGCTTCTGCAGTCTGAAACTGACTGAATGTGCAATCAAGATGTGTTAATTGTCACTGGTGACTGTAATGCAGAAGTTGGAAACAAGAAGAATCACTAGTAATTGGAAAATTTGGCCTTGGTGACAGAAATAATTCTGAAGATCACATGATAGAATTTTGCAAGACCAATGACTTATTCATTGAAATACCTTTTCTCAACAATACAGATGGTGACATGTTAACTTTGACAGATGGAATACACAGGAATCAGATTGACTACATCTGTGACAAGAGGTGATGGAAAAGCTCAATATCTTCAGCCAAAACCAGGGCAGGAGCTGATTGTGGAACAGACCATCAACTGCTCATATGTAAGTTCAACTTGAAATTAAAGACAATTAAAACAAGTCCATGTGAGCCAAAATATGATCTTGAATATATTCCTCCTGAATTTAGAAACCATCTAAAGAATAGATTTGATGCATTGAACACCAATGATCAGAAGAATTGTGGGATGACATCAAGGACATCATCCATGAAGAAAGCAAGAGTTCACTAAAAAGATGAAAAAAGAAGAAAAGACCAAAGTAGATGACAGGAGAGACTCTGAAGCTTGCCTTTGAATGGAGAGTAGCTAAAGCAAATAGAAGAAATGACAAGATAAAAGAACCGAACAGAAGATTTCAAAGAGCAGCTTGAGCAGACAAAGCCAATGACTATAATGAAATGTACAAAGACTTGGAGTTAGGAAACCAAGAGGGAAGACCATATTCAGCATTTCTCAAGCTGAAAGAACTGAGGAAAAAATTCAAGCCTTGAGTTGCAATATTGAAAGATTCTATGTGCAAAATATTGAATGATGCAAGAACCATCAAATGAAGATGTACCAAAAAGAACTGGTAGATCTTCATCCATTTCAGGAGGTGGCATATGATCAAGAACCAATGGTATTGAAGGAAGAAATCAAAGATGCACTGAAGGAACTGGTGAAGAACAAGGCTCCAGGAATTGACAGAATACCCATTGAGATGTTTCAACAAACAGATGCCCCATTGGAGGCACTCACTCTGTGATGCCAAGAGATTTGGAAG